CCTTTAACGTTGATGGGCTTATCGCTTGACCCGGAAAGGAGGGAACGGCTTTTTTTCTTGTCGAGCACGTTAACTTTTTTTTTTGTTCTCGATGGCACTAAGGCATGACCGGGACAAATAACAGCGAGCAGCGGAGACACGGGGCCAATGGGGAGCCGTGGTACTTGGCTCGCTAGTCTAGGGGGGAGGGAGACCACACATCGGTGTGGATTTCACCGAAGTCACCACGCAGAGGAAAGTAAGGTTGCCTTAACCAAAGCTGTAAGCGCTGTTTTCCTTCTAGTGGTAAGGAGCAGGCTGTGAAATTCCCGGACAAACCCAACCGGGGTCATCCGAAAGAATGGGAGGATGCCACATAGCCTTCAGTGCCCCACAAGAAAAGTTCTGATCATGGCCTTAATTAAGACAAAAGTCATCGACTGTCGTTTAGTCGCTTGGTACGGACTTAAGAGAAAGCCTAGCCCCGCTGACCGCCCGGGTGGATGAGAAGGAGAGGGCTTTTAAATTAGGAAGTAGAGGTGGGGCAATAGTGAGGGAAAGGCTGAGATCCCTAATTAGGAAACAGGCTTTCAAAAAGAGGCAAGCATCCGAGTCAGGGCTGCGTGGAACAGCCGGGGGAAGATGAACCGACAATGTGGTAGAAGACGTTTCCATGAGTTACCAGCGGGGGAACTCTAGAAGAAGGACCATGAGTTACAGGTAACACCTTGTAAACTTTCTTTGCAGAACGGTTTTTAGAAGACAAAGGAGGGTGGTGCCGAAGTTGTAGAAGCATGAACATAGAGAGAGAGAGAACCCTTGGTTGGTACAAACTTTGGTGCCGTCACGTACAGAGCTCGCGAGCTTGAGGAGATGCTCGAGGAGGGAAATTGCGTGCCTAGACTGGTTCCGGAGGACTGTGATTAGGGGTAGAGCCAACGATTTATTTGAGGCACACAGAGGGATGGCCAGAGTATAGAGGGCCGTGTTTTATGAAGAGCTGGGTACAGCAAAGGCCCTTGGAGAGTTGGGAGGAGGGAGGCTTTGCATGTTTAAGCCCTGGCTTTGCAGTTCCAATTCAAGAGTGATATTTGCACAATACTCAAAAGCCCAAATGCCAGAGGAATCCATTTCTTTCTCATATACTCTAAAGCAAGATGTTCAGCTGGTTTGTGAAGATTTACAACTTATGCTCATTCTGTTTTAGGTCTTGTAGAAACCTGTTCATGTTAATAATCTCTCTCTTCTAGGGCACAGAGAGGTGGACAAGTAAATCCAGCCTTCTGCAGGTGCTCATCTCAATCCAAGGTAAATTCTATTAAACCTTTAGATTTTCAGAACAGGCAAAATCACATTCTCCTGTTTTGGCGACTTAACTCCTTGCCCAGTATTGGTAGGCACTAGTATTCATTAACTCTGTCATGTCATTGAGAACTGCCAACCTACAGAAAGAATTGCAACTAGCCTTTGAGTTAGCCTTTGAAAGCTAACCAGTACATTTTAGTTTCTATACATTTTTTCTCTCTGCCCTTTTCGGCACATGTGCAACCCACGCACGCATGCAAGGAACAGTAATTATTTATGACAATGCACCCCAGTCTGTAATTTCAAGGGCCAAGCTGAATTGTCTACAGTAATAGTTCTTTTTGTGGAGGCAATGTTTGTCTTGATGCCCAAAGGATTACAAGACTACTTTACATGTGCTTGTGAAATAGTTTCTGCCGAGGTTTTTTGTTCAAACATTGCCAGAAAAATCACCTAGAGGCAGGGTCTTAATGCATGATTTTTTCAAATATTTGTATTACGACACACTTGGAGAATTGTGCATAATTAGGAGTTTGGCTTGGCTTCAGTAAGTGTTGATCCAAAAATTTGAGGGATAATACTGCCTTAAATATGATTTGTGTTGGCTCCAAAGTGCCAGCTCTTCAGTCTATCAAAACACCCACCTTTCCAAAGTTGTAATTATTTCAGAATTCTCTCCCTGGAATTGTAAGCAATGCTTCAGTTCTGTTTGTATATTGAATTGCTTCTCGGCCTCTTCTCCAGCTGAGGTAGGCCCTATCAGAGTATGTCTATTTCCATGTACACTTTCACTCCTCTAAATACTTTATTTTCTCAGTTTCCTCTTTTTCTTCCCCTTCTCCCATTTTCTTATCATCAGGACTTATCCTTGTCAACGAACCTTATTACAATGAGGCTGGTTTTGACAGTGACCGAGGCTTGCAAGAGGGCTATGAGAACAGCAGATGCTACAATGAGATGGCTTTGATCCGGGTGGTGCAGTCAATGATGCAGCTGCTCCGCAAGCCGGTAGAGGTCTTTGAGCAGGAAATCTATGAGCATTTCTGTTGCAACGGCTGGCGCCTGGTCCACCGCATTGAGTCCTGGGTGGAAACAAATGAGCTGGTGGAAAGGAGTCACGATCATGCCTTTGTACATCCAGCATGTGGTGTTCTGGCTGAGAGCCCCGTAGACAGTACGGGGCCGTTGGGAGAGCAAGAGTTAGGGGCTGCTGCAGCGGCAGGGCCTATCCAGCTCTCTGATGGCAAGGAGGAACTGGAAGACTCTGGGTGTGGCATGTCAACACTGGCCACCAGTGACGTCCATCAGTATTCAGACTCTGAGAGCCTGGGCCAAGCCAGAGCAGCACACTTCTCCAGAGACCTAACGGATGAGGGTAAAGCGATTCAAGACTCTGCCACTCAGCCTAGCGTGAAACCAAAGAAAAGGAGAAAGAGCTATAGGAGCTTTCTACCTGAGAGGAGTGGCTACCCCGACATTGGGTTCCCCCTCTTCCCGTTGTCCAAGGGGTTTATTAAGAGCATCCGTGGTGTCTTGCAGCAGTACCGAGCTGTCTTGGTAGAGGCCAACATCCCAGAGTGGACAGAAGACAAATAAAACATCAGGTTAGGAACAGACAGATGCACAGAAAAGAAGGGGAAACAGGGAGGACGGAGCTAGCAAACATTGTTAACAATAAATAGACTGACTCACTGCATCCATTCCTCCTTGGCCTGGTTTGTTATAGAGAAAGCAGAAGCTCCTATAAGTCATTTTTAGACTGGCTCTCCCCTCTCCCCTCCGCCTTTCCAGACGCACAGGATGATTGAGCAACACTGTAGCCATCCACCACCAACCCATGTGTACATCTTGTTCCCCATTTGAACTTGACAATGCAAAGGTAGCCTTTCCATTCCAGAGCTCATAGAAAGCTGGAAGCAGATCCTCTCAACTGCTGTTCTTCTTGGGTGCTATGAATGATGGTGATGGCAATGATGATGGGGAATGCTGGTTTATATCAGTGAGAAAGACACAATCCTGCACATTTCATCAAACTTCTGACCTGACTTCACTAAAGCCTGTCTGCTAGTAAGCACTGAATAGCCCACGTTTCAGCTGTGTATCCATTCCTAATTGGGGGTGTTTTCTGCGTGCCACATCTGGGTGAATTCAGGGGATAAATTCTCCAGAAAACCTCAGCACAGTGTAGCTTGGACTTACCAGAAAAGAGCCACAAATTAGCAGATATATTTGTTTTCCCTGGTGGTGAAATCCCTCAATAAGCTACATTGAGGCAGAAATGTAAGCTGTGCTAGATAGGGCCTGCACTCAGAATCTTCTTTTTGGCTTCTGGCGATCACCTGCTATCTGTCTTAATTATATAGTTTCTTCTGGAGAGTGTATCTCTTTCCACTTTGCCTTGAAGGGGAATAGTGCATATATCCTAGCCCACTACTCTCCCAAATACATGAACACTCTGCTACCAGCTTGACTATGTACACCAGAGTACCTCAGGATGACACTCAAAATAATTGCATGGTGCAACTCAAATTGGGCTTTTTTCAGTTTCAGTTTTCACTAGCGTGTTCACAAAGTGGCAGCCCTGTCTGACTCACTGTCAAGCCTACACTCTGATACAATTAGTGAGTCTCTTTAGCACCACATCTTTTAAGTCAAATCACAGCTTTTATTGTGAGCCAGTTATTTTTCCATGTATGTAACTCCCCCTAGGTGTTTCCATGTGACACAACCCATGCGACTATGGCAGAGAACCATGTACTTCGGGTGAGCCACAGTTGCTGGTGCGTTCCTGCTCTTGCATCCTAGGCAGGAAAGTCATCTGCTCTTCATCCAGTATCTCCTGCCCCTCCATATTTGCATGGCATCACAGTTAGTCACCCTTGTATTCCCCCATTCTTTGTTAATGCACTAATAGAAAACTCCCATCCTTCTAGTGGAACAGTCTAGTTGGAGATGTGGAGAAGGAAGATGGTGTTTGATTGGATATTAGTGAGCTAGTTTATCTTAGTAATAATGTGGATCATGATTAGTAGAGTCTGTCTATTTGGAAGGCTACAGTCTACAGGCTGTTTTGGCCAAGTCAATCATGGGTCATAAGAGAAGCCAGGCTAGTTATATTTTTCCAAGGTTGATGCAAGAAGGATCAGAAGAATCAGGTTGATGCAAGAAAGGAATTTGGCAGAGGGATTCTGGTCTGTGTGCCCTTGTCACACTAGATTTTGTTGAAAGGCAGACAGCAAGGAGAGCTGGGTGTCGCCCCATTCCTTATAGAGATGTGGCTATGGCTCCCCATCTCATCTGGAGAGAGGAATATTTCATTGAGATGTTGACACATTGAAAAAGCAATCTTGCTTTCCCAAGCTAACCATCACATAGCAATCTGTCCAGTTCTGAGCGATGACTACATTCCCATTTTGAATAGATTAGCAAGTCAGGAGCTGTAGTGCTCTTGTCAGCAAGGAGCTGTCTACAGGAGGACCTTGCTTTTTCGTGAGCACAACTGAGAGCTTTGCCTGATTTCATGGAAGGAAGTATTGTGTCACATGAAGATCTTGCTTTCTCCTTGTCCTCCTAGGGACCTACCTTTTGCATCAATAAGCACTGACCATATATCTTTTGCTGTCAGCCCTTAACAGAGGCATGCACAGAAGTTTACATTTTCTCCCTGATAAGCTTTTGGATAATGTGAAGCTCTAATTATGCAGTTGCTGGTGAGCACACTGCAGCTATGTAAGGTTTTTTTTTTGTTGGTGTATGTATGTAATAAAGAGTGAAGAGAATTTCAAGGAGACAAAAAACTGCTTAAACACACACCGAAAAGCCAAAGCATGAGGCATATTGTTAGTCTTGAGATGGGCTACATGATTGTGATGTATAAATTAAAATCTCTATCTGTTCAGTGCTGGGGTGGGAAGGGAAAAGAAATTATTACAAAAATACATTTCTAGCCTTGATTCTGTACAGTATTTAAAACTGATGGAGCTGTTATATTGGGGCAAAGCTTAGAGGTGTGTTACTTTTGCAGCTGTGAATGCTTGGTTGCTTACAATATATGTATAAAGATATTGTGTGATCTTTTTTTTTTACTTGCAAATTTTGTTTGGCTAATTAAGATGTAGTAATAAAGGAGAGAAAGTGGCTTGCCATTCTGTTTTGATGCTGTCAATAGCTTTGATGGGTTTTCACATTCTCCTTCCATCTTGAGACTCAATATGTATATGTTGCTGGAGGGAGGTTGGTTGGTTTGAGGAGCTGCAGACAGTTCCATTCCCCACCCAGTTATGGCAGGCCTTCTCTGGCTATCAATCACCCCTATCGTTTGTGAACAGCCACCCCTCTCCCACAACAGGGAGGCTTTCCCCTTGTCATCTCTTCCTTGATACCTTTACATGTACCAAGTTTTTCAGTTGTCCCTGTGACCTATCAATTTCAGTGTTGCGCCCATTTGCCACTATTTGGTGACTGAGGCAGAGTCTGGGTTAATTAGGCTCCTCTTAGCTGCAGTGTTCGTTGACTAGTTTGTGTATCCTCCTGCCTCCTCTCATAATGGAGTTTTCCCAAGGAAGCATGGGACAGTTTCTTAATCCATATAAATTCTATAAATGTATAATGATCATGCCTCTTGGATCATGATCATGCCATGCTCACACCTCAGCTCTTTGAATCTACAAGTATCTAAGGTTTCTAGGAAACCAATAGTAGGAATGTTAAAATACTGCCCCTTCAGCACAGTGGTATGTCCTAACATGTGACTTTATGGCTTTCTTTGACACACTCAAATCCAGCTTTTTTCCCCTAACCTTAAATAACCTGAAATAGAACAGAGTAAAAGTTTATGGGACCTGAATCAGCTTGTTAAATACTGTTAATTGTGGTACAGCTGCTGTTAATTGCGGTACAGGGTGAGATTCTCTGTGATTGTCGAGTGGGCCCTTAGTGTCTGTAGGGGTTTCGTTCACACGTGGATACCAACATTTATGGATGCTCAATTCCCATAATATGCAATGGTGTAGAAAAACTGAGTCCCTGACATAAAATGGCAAAATCATGGTTTACCTCTGGATTTTTTTTTCATATTTTTCAAGCCATGGATGATTGACTTTGTGGATGCAAAATCCATGGATAAAAAGAGCTGACTACATTCAACATTTCTAACTGGAATTAAACCAGGTCATGGAGATGGGTTGCACATGTTAAATTGTCTTATTCCTGGTCTCTTAGGCCCCTTCTGCACTGCCTGTAAAATCCAGATTATCTGATTTGAACTGGATTCTATGGCAGTGTAGATTTATAATCCAGTTCAAAGCAGATAATGTGGATTATATAGCAGCATAGAAGGATGTTAAAAGGATGGAACAGGAAGGAAATTAAGGCCAACTGCCTCCCAATTTTGATCTCTTGCAGCTGTTAAATAGCTATGGAGAAACATTTCAATCCTGAGTTTCCAATGCTACAAACTAGACACATACTTATCCCCTTATCAGTAGTCTGGAATTAGTCTTTAAAAAAAAAAGAACCAAATAAGCCAATTGGATTGCTCTCTTCCTCTTGCAACTCAACACTTTGTGATATGAATCACTTTAAAGTTCTCATGTGATCGTCTCATTCTTTAGAAAACAACTGCTTCACTCTCAGCTGACACTTCTTTCAAAAAGCCCCTAGAAATAAATAGTCTGACTCCCCATGTTTGTTTGCCTTTCCAGGGATAAATGAGGGTGTCCTTCACAACACAATAAAAAGAAGGTAGGGTGAGAGTCTCAGGTTGAAAGGGCAGTGATGCTCCAGGTGCAGCTGTACCACAATTCACATCATTTTGCCAGTTGGCTTTTTGGGTTGTGAGCAATAGGGGGTGTGAGGGCCATCCATTCCCCTATTTTCTGGTATCCTTCAGGAAGCATACATCTGAGAGCTCCACCAATCTGTGTATGCCCTACCCGGTCAGTGTGCCTCTTTCTTTGTTAAATAGATGTGAAGGTTTGCGGCCAGTATCACAGTTTGCATCTTTCTATATCCATTTACATTCTGATCCCACCTTCACAGCTGTGTACTGTATTTAAAAACCAAAAGTGGACTAAAATTGATGAAAACTCGTGCCTTGAGCAGCCTAAAAACCCTAAGGGCACCAGATCCCGTCTGATCTTGGAGGCTAAGCAGAATCAGCTCTTGTTAATACTTGGATGAGACTACCAACAAAAATAGGTACTGTAGGTTGTATTTTCAGAGGAAGGAACTGGTCAGACCACCCTTGAGTATTCCTTCCCAAGGAGAACCTTTTGAAATTATAGGGCTAGCATAAATTGACAGGACACTTGAAGGCACTTGCACATCCTGTGATGAGTCAGTTAAGGTGCCACTGGTCCCCATCCCCCATTCTGTCTTGTAGTTTTTACATTTTTATTTTTACATGCACTGAAAGGCACATCTGGACTCCACATCACCACTTCCATGTATCACTGCCTATAGAGTTCTTTTTGGGAGGCATGTTCCTAGGTTCCTACCAATTTGTGTTACATATGTTGCACAGGCTTCCAGGCTTGGACCATCACTTTAAGGGCACCAGTCTCCACTAATTTTAACATACCAGACCAAAAGGCTTCTGTAGTATGTATTTTATGGGCAATGCTGTTGTCAAGAACAAGTCTAGTTAGCTCATACTTTAAGGGGCATGTACGAGCCATACAAGAAATCTCACCACTTTTATAACCCTCTTGAAGACTTTCTATATGCAGTCAAAAGCAAGTGGTGGTCCTTAGTAAATTCCATTGTGTGTATACTGTACATACAGCTTAATCTCTGTACAAAATGAGAGTATAAAGCTAGTGGTAGAATGAAAACAAAGTAATGTGGCAATCTTCTTAAACTCGCATCTGGTTCTCACGGTAGGAAAACAGTATTTCTCTGTATCAATGTCATCAATTTGGTCCTGACACTTAGGAGCTGGCAGCCCAAACTTTACTGTGCACTGTGAAAGTGCCTATTTCATCCTCTTGCAGAACATGCTACTATGTGAGGAGGTCTGTGTTTCACTAGGGATAGGAAGGCTGCAGCCCTTGGACTAATTTGAAAACCCTGCTGCTAGCAATCCTCATAGCCCTGCAAGTGAATCCTTTCCTTTCCCCAAAAGCCTACTAATGTGTTGGGAGGCAGTGACATATAAAAGTTGGTAGTCCTCACATCCATGTCATCAAAATATTAGCTGAAGTTATCACATCCCCTTAATCCACTTTACATACATGTAAAATCTACTCATAGTGTTTTTGAAAGGCTATCAATAAATGCTGTGGCCATGTTGGGTGGCTTTAAAAATGAAAACAGCTTTATTGCTGAAGCTTTTGTTTTCTGAACAAAAAAAAATCTGAGCAAATTACTTTTTAACCTCCCCCACCTTTAGGCTAATATTGGATGTGTTACACAAAATCTTGGTGTGCAACTTGGTTGGGGCTAAAGTTGTGTCCCCTAACAAACTGCATCATTTTTTACAAGACTGTTGGGCAAATTTCAGAGTGTATATTTTCTAAGCACAAGGCAAATGTGGTAAGACTGCCATAATTCCTTCCCACCATTTTTGGCAGTGCTGGCAAGCTGTCAGATCGGTTACCTTGCACTGTCATTGGTAGAGGCTATAGATGCTGCTGATGTTGACTTGTCCCCTAGGGCAGTCAAGGAATCCAAACATATGTAAGTGGCCACTTTAAAACAAATTGGAGGTATGTAATTGCTGGAGAGTATGTACACCCATCTTCTAATTTTCTGGATTAAAAGTAACCAATTAACTACTCCGTTTGCTAATGAACCCCTTATGTGAGAAAGTCAAAAGGGTAAGGTATCAATTAGGATATGATAGCTGCAGTGGGAGGAGACATGTGGACTGAATGGCATCCTAAGACAAGAGTGGGGATTGTGGAGTCCACCAGATGTTGCCAGACTGAAAAGCCGAGCATTCACATCAGCGGCGTGAGGTCGGGCAGGCAAGAGCTGCAGCCCAATATATCTGGAAGGCAACATAATATACACCCATCGCAGAAGCTACTTGTTCTTTGAAGAGAAAAGAGGCAGCCTCAGTCTTAACAAACACCAGAGTTGTTGGCACCACTCTGAACTGAAATCAATTTTTGTTTTCTTTCACGGCTTGTTTGCTTTTTTGAAGAAGCTGCATCTTTATTTAATCTCTCCATAAGAATATAATTTATCACTACATACAACTTTAGTATTTTTTATAATTAAAAAACCCTACAAAATGAGAGGCTGAAAGTGGTCCCAAAAGTGGCATGAGACTGAGCCATTTTTATCCAGACACTGCATTAAGATGATGTCATGCCCTCTGCTTCAGCTGCTTGGTATGAAGGGTTTGATCTTGGGATGAAGGGCAAAACAGCTTTGCAGTGGAGCTGGCTTTGGTTTAATTTGGAGACCTACTTTCTCTCCCTCTAGGGCTATGCAGAGCAGGAAGACTGTAAAGCGGACTTTACTGCTGCACAGCACTGGAGAGAGAACACAGTCTGCCAACACAAAATAGGCGTTCTTATTGTAATTACTAAGTAGCTGATCTAAAGCCCAGTTCACCCTGAGAATGATCAGTTGACGTTTTCTTGATCAGGTAGAGCACCAGTGAAATCTCCCCATCCTGCTCCATGCTTACACGAGTCCGTTGTGCCCAGAATTATTGCTACTTTCTCCAAAGGCTTCAGGTCACTCAGGAGCCTGTGATGATACGCGCAAGCCGTCTATGAATTTGGCCTTGTACGGGTTCACATGCCAACACTTCACCATCCACTGTCATGACGCCCTTGGGCTCAAAGGGCTCTACCCGAAAGGCTTTCACAGGCACATAGTGAAGGTGGGGGTTGTTGAGAGACAGGTGTGTCCCTTTGTCCATGGCCATGAAGAATTTGATCATGGCCATCCTGGAGACCCCAGAAGTCAAATAGAAAAGGTGGATTGCATCATCATACAGCTTGGCTGAAGGAGCCAGAAGGAGGTCTGCTCCCAGGTGGGACTGAAAGATAGCTACGATGGAGACAAACTCCTCCTGAGGTGCTACAGTCCAGTGCTGAGGAACCGGTTGCTCCAAAGGTACCAACAGGGAGTCCTCAAGTACAGAGTCCTGACCAGGCTGTGCAGGCACAGCTGGGGACACGATGTTGTTGGAGAGCATCTGGGCTGCATCCTGTGCTGATGTGTCCTTCTGTGCTCCAGGAGGAAGCGAGGAGTCTGTGCAGGGGTTTTGCTCTTCAACTGGCAAGTATGAAACACGGCCCTTGTAAACCTGGAAACAGGCCAGAAGCTGGAATGTGCCCACAGTGAAGCGGATACTTCCTAGTTTACGGTATCTTTCACTGGCAATGTCCACATCGGAGACGAAACCCCAGCCAAAGCTAAGGAAGGAGAAGAGGCGCTTCCCTGAAGCTGTGCGTAGGGACACCAAGTCCATAGGAGCATGCAGGCCTTTGCATAGAAAGAATGTGCAGTTCATTAGCAGATCTTCTTTGACAAAGCTGCCCTTGCTGAGTGGGAGAGAAGAAAGACCAAAAATGTCAAAATGAAAAGACATAAACACACCAGTGTTGAAAACAGATTTGGGAAGGGTTAGGGGTGGCGGGATAAAATATAATAAAGTGAATGAACTGTCAATGCTTCCTCTCAGAAATCTCACAGACTGCATGATCCTGGAACTAGTTCCTCTAGTTGACTCATACTGCATAGGTCACATGAAGACACATTATTTCTTCTTTGGGGGGGGGGGGGCTTTTAAGCAGGGAGTTTTGTGAAGACCGCCAAGATGGAAGGTGGACCATCTATAAATGCAGCCGGGAATAGTTTAAGAATAAGAAAATTGGTAGATAAGACACATACTGCAATACCACCCTTTTATTTATAGTCCTGCCCAGCAACATCTTTCCCCTCAGGTGAGCTTGTCCATTCAGGTACTCTGTCAAGCCAACTGTCTGCGGCCATTAGAAACAAAAATTGCCATGACTGTAGGAAGTAGCAGGTATGCTGACACAATATTACTGTTTGTTTGGGTTTTTTTTGTCGTGTCAGGAGCGACTTGAGAAACTGCAAGTCGCTTCTGGTGTGAGAGAATTGGCTGTCTGCAAGGACGTTGCCCAGGGGATGCCTGGATGATTTGATGCTTTTATTATCCTTGTGGGAGGGAGGCTTCTCTCATGTCCCCGCATGAGGAGCTGGACCTGATAGAGAGAGCTCATCTGCCTCTCTCCGAATTCAAACTTGCAACCTGTCGGTCTTCAGTCCTGCCAGCACAGGGGTTTAACCCACTGCGCCACTGTATTTACTCATATTACTCATATTACTGGGGGACATGAGAGAAGCCTCCTCGCAGGATTGCAAGACATCCGGGCGTCCCCTGGGCAATGTCTTCGTAGACGGCTGATTCTCTCGCCACAGAAGCTTTGTTCTGTTAGAAATGTAATATAATGGACTGGCTGCTCTGACACGACAAATAAAATAAATAAATAAAATAAATACTCATATTACTGATGAGTAAAGAAGACCTTCAATGCTAGAACAGCAGCTGGACCTTGTAGGAAAGCGGTGCTATGACAGAGGGAAACGAGGCATGGCTGCACAATCTGCTACACTAAAACTTAGACTGGATGGCCAATCATGGATTTTTTAGAGCAATAGGTAAAGGTTAAGGTTTCCCCTGATATTGTCCAACACTGGGGTGGGGTGGGGTGGTGCTCATCTCCATTTCTAAGCCGAGGAGCCAGCATTGTCCATAGACACCTCCAAGGTCATGTGGCCGGCATGACAGCATGGTGCCGTTACCTTCTTGCCAGTGGTACCTATTGATCTCACATTTGCATGTTTTTGAACTGATAGGTTAGCAGAAGCTGGAGCTAACAGTGGGAGCTAACCCTGCTCCCTGTATTCAAACTGCCAACTTTTCGCTCAGCAACTTCAGCAGCTCAGCAGTTTAACCGACTGTGTCACCGGGGGACTTCTAGAACAATCCGTGAGCCAAGTCTCAGAGTGCCTGAGCTCCTTGCAGTCTTGTGTAGCAGAATTGTCAACAACCTTAGCACAGTGTAGTGGTTTCTTCAGGAAACAGAGGCCCCAGGCCATACATACAGGTCAGCACTATATGTAGGGCCAAGCAGGAGCTCATTTAGGTGAGAGAGAAATAGGCAGGGGGAAAAATTGGGTTGGTATCCTGTAAGTGGCACACATAGGCGGCCTATATCTACACTGCAGCTGGTGCAGTGTTGAACTGGGCCTCCAGAGGACCAGAGTTTGAATCACTGCCCAACCTTGGAAACTCACACTTGGTGACCTTGGGCAAGTCACATTCAGCTAGAGAGGAAGGCAAACTCCTTCTGAAGAAATCTTGCCAATAAATCCCCGTATTGGGGTGGTCTTGTGGTTGTCAATAAATAACTTGAAGGCACAATCCACACAAGTCTTTGGAGGTTTTTTGCTGATTTTTTGGTCACTGTGAAAACTGGTATTCACTTCCTCTCTCCACATCAACCAACTCTAGTGCAGAGTTCATTTACCCCTTGGTCATGCCATGCCAGGTGAGAGCGGTGTATGTGTGTTGGGGGGGGGGGGGGGCATCACCATACACTTAGTGTCATCCAATGAAGCTATCAGAAGGTCCAGCAGACTTTAGCACAGAATGTAATCATTTCAATTATCTGTGGCAGATGAAGGGTTTGGTGACTACCCAGGTGTACTGCAGTTCTGCAACTGGAATTACTACTATACTACACTGGACCACACAGGATTGTAGTCAGTCGGAGCCTTGAGACAGCCAAGGAGAAAAGTGGTCACCCAGACCTTTGGGTGAGACTCTTAAGTCAATTCTAAATATTGACAAAATGGGAGTGAAAAACTTCCCCACACACAGTTGCCCCTGTGTCATTTCAAACATGTGCAAAGTGGTCTGATTGCAGCTTTTTTTCTCTTGTGCTCTATTTTGAGTGGGTAAATATACAGTATGTATATTCTCAGGGGGCTTATTCCTGGGGAAACCTGAGAACCAAGCAGCAGTGCTTCTCTCAGTCCCCCCAGCCAGCCAGGTGGCTGAGCCAGTTTGACAGAGAGGGGCGGAATTCCCCCAAGTGACACCTTCAGCCCCCCTCCCTGTCCCCTCCCTCCACCAAATGAAGCCCTTTAGGAAATGAAGATTAGTCCCAGAGCAGATGGAGGAGGAGGAGGACAGCTGTGCAAGGGGCAGAGGCCAAAGTTGGAGTGATGCTATAAGGGACGTCATACAATCTGGGCAGAAACTGCAACCTGAAGCAAGGACTTCCAATTGAACAGCTTCTATGGGGCAATACTCTCCCCCGGCCCCATCTGTCAACAAGCAACAATGGTACCAGGTCATATTTGATACCCTCTTCCATCAGGGGGAGTCTGCCGATGCAACTGCCTTGCAATCAGCATCACACCACAGGAGGATAGGGAGAGGCAGAAAGGAATCCACGGCCGGCTTGAAGGCGAGGCAGAATCTCGGCCCACCAGATTAAGTTTCCACGATGCAAAGTTTCATACTCCTCTCTGGGACTGGCAGAGCAAAAGGGTCCTAAACATGCTCAAAACAACTTTGTGGAATTGCCATCTTATCATACACATGGCTTTTCCTCCCACGGTGTGGAGTTCGCTGCTATTGCCTTGAACAAAGCCTTGAGAAGCCGGCTTGTCAGTCTACTGAATACCAATCTTCCCACATAGCTAATCCAGGCCATTAGGTCAAAGCAGAAGAACTCCCATCCCACTCCTGACTTGAATTAGTAACGCCAAGCCTCTGGTGATCACTTACCCCCCATAATGATTGAGAGAAGCTGCCAGGGCGTTTCCAGAGCCTCCTGGGAGGATACAAAGAGGCTTCTGGATCACAGACCTCCAGTCGGGACGCTCCATCAGTCCATTGATCACCTGCAAGGACACAAAGGACGGTCAAAGGGCAAGCATCAGGGAGCCATTTTTCATATATATGACCTTAGCTTTGGTAACCAGTTATTTTAATGCTCTGTTCCAACATGCTCCAGAATCACCAGTGCAACATATTGGGAGGTGGAATATATTACATCTCAAAAGAGGTACACAGAAGTACTTCTGTCAATCTCATGTAAGACACCATACTAAGGCTGTGAGTTTATGACATCCATTAGTCAGAAAACAATTCCCATTTTTTGAAGGCAAGCATGGCTATCAGAAGCAAGACAATGATGGAACAACAATAAAATATATTCCATAGGCATGCAATAGACAAACACAGAATTATGTAAGTTTGAAACATGGAATGGCTTGGACGATGCTACTGGAAAATGAGATTAACAGAAAGACATTGGTTATTATATGTTTTTAATAGTTTTTGTATTGTATTCATTTTATACTGATTTTATAATGCTATTTTAAATGTATTAATTGTATATTGTGGATTGTTATGGCATCAAATTGTAAGCCGCCTTGAGTCGCCTTCGGGCTTGAGAAAGATGGGACAGAAATACTGTAAATAAATAAATAAATAAATAAATACATTTCCCTCCTGCTTGCCCTTTGACCGTGAAGTGACTTTCAAACAGTAGCAAAAGTTATTTTGAGAGCATTTTAATATCTATTTAGAGACATTTTAACAGTAACCTTTCAAATTTTATGTTGCTCTCTTTTCAATCTAAGGAGTGTTTTCCATAACAGAAAGTAACTACTAGAACTTATTATTCCATTCTGAGTAAATATAACAGTTTACTTCCCACACATTGCAACAAGCAATGGGAAACAAATTATGTTTAAGAAGTAACTTTTCAAACTGCCCTGAAAGCTATCCGTCCACATTTCAAACTTAACATTAACTGTGTTCAACCATTTACGAGCCAACATTTCATTCAGAGTGGCTGTCTTTCTCCAAAATAAAAGCTTATTTTACATTCTGTTACTCCTAATGGGAGAGTCTACTTTTTTGCGTAAGAATTTGTGGTCAGGAAATGCATAACGGCAGAGCAAGACTCAAGGGAAGAGAGCGGAGAGAACCAGGCAAGGCAGGGATTCCATGCTGAATCTACCAACAAACTCAAGGCCTTGTCATCCTCCACATCTCCCTTCAGTGTGCCCAGTGAGCCCTCTTCTTCTACTCAGCCCATAAAGGCGGAGGACCACTGGATCTGGTTGCAGTCCAGGCTGACACAACCAGTACAACCCCTGGAACTAACATGCTCCTTCAAAGTACAGTGCCTTGAGTGCTAGGTTGTCACTGCAACGGACTTAGGTATCCTGTTTAAACAAGCAGCAAGGTTTATGGTTTCCTTACATGCTCACCATGGGCTCATGGAGCAGCATTGGCTGTCTATGATGGGAATGATGCCAGTAGGCAACTCAGTGCCATAATCTTATAACTGCTAAAACCAGGACCCCAGATTGAGTAGCATCTCACCTGCTCGCCTCCTTACCTCATACAGTAAGCCATCTCCAGCCATCACCACCAAGGCATCCCACCTGGACAAGTCCTTCTCTTTCACCATATCCCAGGCATGGTTGTGCCTCTCTGTAAGGAGAAAGACAAGGAGAATCCGTGACTAGCCTGTTCATTGCATTATATAATTTATAAACCCTTGGAGAAAATTTGCCTGGGTGAACCTACACTGATGCAAAAGTGGGCAGCTGCAGTCTCATTACACACAGGGCTGGGGAAAGGTAGCTGTGTTAATTTGCTGCAGGATGACAACAATGGAAAAAAATCTACAGGCAACACAAAGGTGAATGGGTTTTGTTTGGCATTTCATGGGCAGCAGCCCATAACTTCAGGCACTTTAAGGTGATGCATGTTTTGATTGGAGATGAAGAAGTGGGAAACAGACTTTCAAAAAAGGATGTTCTGCACTCTCTGGAGACTCCTATGTTACTTGGATGGAGGAGAAGATGCCGCCAGTCCATTCAAATACAAACAGTGGCCCTGATCTTCTATGATAGTTGCAGACTGCTGATGGTGTTATGGCAGTGGTTCTCAACATGTGGGTCCCCAGATGTTTTGGCCTTCAACTCCCAGAAATCCCAACAGCTGGTAAACTGGCTGGGATTTCTGGGAGTCATAGGTCACAGATTGAGAACCACTGTGTTAATGGCATTCTTGCATCATATAGGAACGTTGCACATGCAAACATGTGTGGGCATCCATATGCACAACTTCACTGCATGCATGCAATTCAATTTCTGTGACTTTAACAGTACATCAAGAAAAAAATGTCCAACAAAAATGTGTTAAGACAATAACAGGATTATGGCCTGCGGATAAACACAATGACTAGTTATCCAACAGGGTGGCACTCTGATTCCACATTAATACAGGATGGCAACCGACATTCCCACACACTGCTCTTTTTATCACACACACCTCCTCTACTTACTCTTAATCAAACATCTCCCAAAATCAGGGCTAACTGAAAATAAAAACGGTTGTTCACGATCCCAGTGTAACCAGCCTCCCAAGAAAAGTATCTGGTCTTCTCCTCCTCCCCTCAAAAGAAGTATTAAGATGAAATGGGACACACGATTAAGATAGTTTGCACTGTAGAAGAAACAGGCAGAATTGTGGTGGTGCAAGCTGTCAGATTTGCTTAGGTGGGAAGGCAAAATGCTACAGCCTTTCTCCACCATGTACATGATTAATAATAACACCTGGCTTGCACAAATAAGAATCTAGTCTTACAGCTTGTATTCAGTGAGAAAGTTTCCAAAAAAAGGAAAAAGAGATGCGAAGTTTCATGCAGACATGAGAGCATAGGAGAGAGAACAGAACCTTGTAAGAACTTAAATAATAAAAACCCATGGGGGTAAACAATCAACATTTCCAGAAAGCATGGCTTTAGGAAATGCCCAACCTAATAGGAGCACAGCCATTGCTAAAGGTACCTTTTATCCCCAAACTGGATCTACTCAGGAGGACAATAAAAGTATTGAAAGCTTCTGGGAGAGCATGTTGTCACTCTCTCAACTACAAGTTGGCCAAGGCAGCTTCTATCCACAAACCAGACCATGAAACCCAAACTGAAATGGAACTAATTTAGATTTATTTATGTCTCCTAGGCATATTCATTGGTAACAAGGATGTTCCCATTAAGACAATTTCAAGTGCCATGGAAAAATGATATAATGCAGCATTTGATTCAATTAAGTTTAGAACCAAAGGAATTGGTACATTGAACAAAGGATGGGGCAAATCTGCAACTCTCCAGATAGAGTTGGAACACATGTTACAACAGTCCTGGAAAAGTACAGTCAAGGCCGAGGGATTACTGGAATAGCAATCCAACCACATTTGGAGGACCACCGTTGCCGGTCCTTGCTAATTGAAACACTAGGATGGCCCTACAGCTCAGAAGTACCTGCAAGCTGAAACTAAAGTCAAGTGGGGTTAATCTAAAGAGGACAAATAAGTGAGGCCTGGAGCAGGAATGAGTAAGCAGATTTGGGCATTGTTACATTTCAGTTTGGGTCCTGGCATCTTCTCTCATGCTGTGAAGAAAGAAAAACTGCAATGGTCATGGGAATACTTACCAGTTACAAACATATCAAATCCTATGTTGGCTTCCTTCAGCATTGGCTGGACATGGCATCTGAACAATTGTGGAGCCCGTCCTGATCCGCTCTGTGGATTCAGCAGAATCATCACTCGACAGGGCCGAGGGAGGAGGCCATATGTTACTCCTGTATGAAGACACAAGAGGTGGGAGAGAGAACGGGAATCAGAATCACAGACTAAAATAATGTCCTATGGAATTTGCTGCTTTTCTTATTTGCTCCAGTAGTGTAGTTGCACATTCTGAAATACAAATGCTCATCATGATTGGCCCCATAGCCAGGCATCCCAGAAGACAGTAACACTGCAACTAGAAGTGCTGGCCCATAACTAAACATTGGTTGCATTATCTTTAATCTCAAGCAAGACCAGGTAAAGCCATTGGGCCTTAACTGCAATTCAAGATCAAGACACTCCAGATCTTGATCTACTCACATTTGCATTTTTTCAAACTGCTAGGTTGGCAGAAACTGGGGCTGACAGTAGAAGCTCATGCCGTTCCCTGGATTTGAACCTGTGACCTAAGTTCAGCAGCTCAGCCCTTTAACCCACTGTGCCACCAGGGGTTCTGATTTATAATATAGGACACCATACATCTATCTCATTTCTACACTATATAGAAAACCCACAGATGCTAACACCCAAGATTCAATAGTTCTCGCTATGAGACTGAGAAATATTCTCCCTTGTGGCCAAATCTTCAGGTTAAAACAAATTTGTTTTCATGTGGAAGAATTCAAAAACGAGTCTTGTACATAATCTAAACAACCTATTGAAAGAGGGTTATATACAGCATGTGCAATGGTTCTCAACCTCTGGGTCCCCAGATGTTTTGGTCTTCAACTCCCAGAAATCCTAACAGGTGGTAAAATGGCTGGGATTTCTGGGAGTTGTAGGCCAAAAATATTGGGGACCCACAGGTTGCGAACCACTGGGATAGAGTAAGAGAGCTGAGAGATCTTGCTCAGAATCATAGAGTTGGAAGAGACCTCATGGGCCATCCAGTCCAACCCCCGGCCAAGAAGCAGGAACACAAACAACACCAATCATCTTAATTTCTCTCTCACCTGCAGATATATCACCGAAGGCTTATAGAGGTTCATTAGAAACACTGGTGCATAGTTCAAACCACAGATATCTTTTTAAAGGACTGGAAATATCAAACACTAACTTCATGGAACATTAAAACCACAAACTCACACAGACGGACACAGCCCGACTTGCAGGCCAACTGCCCCTTTGGACACTAAATATATTGCATTTACATTTCCAAAATCATTGCATTTACAAACAGTACTGACAAAGAGAAATATATTTTGATGCACTTCAAGAGCTGTAATAACAAATTTGTTATGTATTGTCGAAGGCTTTCATGGCTGAAATCACTGGGTTGTTGTAGGTTTTTCGGGCTATATAGCCGGCCATGTTCTAGAAGCATTCTTTCCTGATGTTTCGTCTTTATCTATGGCAAGCATCCTCAGAGGTTGTGAGGTCACCTCAGAGGTTGTGAGACCTCACAACCTCTGAGGATGCTTGCCACAGATGCAGGCAAAACGTCAGGAGAGAATGCTTTTAGAACATGGCCATATAGCCTGAAAAACCTACAACAACCCAGATGTGTTATGCATAATATTCAGCGCAGATGCAAAAAAAAAGTCGGGGAAACACAAAGACACTTAATAAATCTGTGTGTGTGTGAGAGAGAGAGAGAGAGAGAGAACATCTGTCTAATATAAAGAATGGAAGGGTGGGGACCTAGTCAGTAATTTGTTTTGTGAAATTCTAACCTTCTGTCACATGTTATGTTCTGGGTGTTGGAAAATACAGATGATAATAATGAAAAAAAACTCTGCTGAGAAAAGAAGTAGATCTAACTGCAAGATCGAGACCTTTTGATGCAGGTACCAAACTTGGGCCTGCACTTTTTGTCTTCCCTGGAATTAATGACAACTTCACCCTATGCTTCTTGCTGGCTCTCCATTTTCACATTCTGCTCTTCTACCCGAAAGAGACGTGCTAAGGATACAGCTCAGTGATTTGCTGACCAATCTTGCCGCTCTGAAGATCAGGGTAGCAATCAAAGTCTGGAGACAGCTCAGCACAAATGGTTTCTAAAACTGCTCTTCTTCCCACCTGCCCTGCACTCCATAGGAGCTCCCACGTGATGCCTATTTGGCAAGCAAGAATGAGAAAATGTTATGAGAAACGAAGAAAATTTGAAAATGTTTCTTTACACCAACCATCCTGGAAAATGCAATGAGGTAAAAAGCAGCTCTGAGGAAAAACAGCATTAGTCTAAAGGTGACGAAAATGGAATTCAATTTAAAAGATCCCTAAAATGGAAGATCACATTCAGTCCTTGGAGGATGGCATCATGCCTCATGAAATGTTCCCAGGAGAAGGAAGACAAAACACAGATGCTCTGCTGCATCTAAGCAGGCATCAAAGAGGAAAAAGATAGTCATAAAACAATAGAAAAACGTTTGAGCTAGTATCTTTTGATATGCTATGACAAACTTTTTTCCCAAGGTCATACAATAATGGAAGGTTATCAGAAGAACTACAGAACAGGGCTCCTGTCTTTCTCATAGTTTTCACAGGCTCCTCCTACAGTGCCATATAATCCAGTTCAAAGCAAATAATCTGGATTTTATATGGCAGTACAGAAGGGTCCATAGTCAGGTCGAATCTGGAATATCAGCAAGTGATGGTGGTGTTGCAAGCAAAACTGCTTAAATTCCCTCTTCTACACAACCATTGAGTCAGCAGCCCCTATTTCTTTTATTTCACCTGGCAACGCTAAGTGGTGGTGAGGGAAGGTAGATGAAGTTTGCCAGCAACCAGTAGCCTATTTCTGAAAGACCTGACTTTCTTCAGGACTGGAGCCTTCTTAACCAAGCAGGCATCAGGAGGATTCCTGTCCTTAAGTCCACTTGGAAATATTCATAGAAGTATTTCCTTTACAAAAATAAAATAAAAAATTATTTAAAATCCCAGGCCAAGAACTTGCAAGAGACTTCTCTGAAAACTACCTCTTAAGCCAGGCAATGCCACAACTGAATGGCTTCTGAGATGCAGCAGATTGGTATGCTAGGAAATGATGACTGAAGGGTCCCCTCCAATCATGGGGTCCATGGAGGACAGTCCCCTCTGGGTCCCTGCATAACAGTTTCTCTCAATGGGACCTGCAGCCAACATTTCCCCAGCATCCCAATCTACTGTACCTCAAAGCCCATCAATTGGGGTGCTGCCTAGTTAATGTGATAGGTTGTAGGGTCACATATGGTCATTAGCAACATAAACATGAATCTCAAAAGTCACAAAAGACTTTACATTGGGCTTACGATCTCATAAATATTGGATTTCCTATGTCTTTACCCTGAACATTTTTCCTCAATTAGCTGCTTTGTGTATTAGCAGTAATTACAGATCTGAACCCTGGTCAATAATTGCTGTACTCACTTTCCCCAGCAGACTGCTTTGCACAGCTCCCCATCATGCATGTTTCTTCCCAAAGTAAATGTATATACACACAGTCTGCAAACAGAGCATTAGCGCCTGAAAAAAAAGTCCACACTTTCTGCAAAGGAAGTGTCCCAATCTTGGCATGCCCCATGATACACACAGGTCAATTTGAATGTCAGGCACTATGTTTAAACCTGAAGCCTGTCGAGCCCAGTTTACAGCTCAGGAGCCAGTCATCCATAGCCAAATTAATGATATCACAGAGTTCCCCAAAGAAAGGCAATATCACCACTCTGTCGCCACCTTTCCCTGTCTACAAGCAGACACAGAAGCTATGCTAAGAGCTACCATTTCTTTGTGAAAGCGCTGTCAGACCCAATTAGCCATGTGTGCCAATTATTTAGCAACATGTTGGTTGCTAGCTCGCTTCATTGGACTGCGGCATCACAAAAACAAGGGCATCTCAGGCTCTGCCTCTGTATTTTGTGTTCTTAGTTGGGCATAACAGCACTTACGGTTGATGTGATCCTTAAAAACGACGAGTAACATGAATGAGTGGGTCTGAGCAAGAGCAAAAAGCTGAGGCTTGTGTGGTATCTTCCAACATTTCCAGATTTCAGTAAAGGCCCAAGGTAACAACATCCTTCCCTTTGCCATCTCTGCCTGCCTAGCTCCCATTCACTCAGGATCCGTCCTATTTAAATAAGGCTCACTGATTATGTCAGCCTGAAGAAATCCTTTTTACCATTCTCTCTTCCACTCTCATGCAAATGTTTAAAAATGAAGCTGCAAACGTGTCCTCAGGCAGGGTTAGGCGGACTTCGCTTGTGGGTTGCAATATGATTTTTGAAAACGGAGAACCCCGAGATGCATCTATCAGATCCTGGTGCAAAACTATATGCATTTTAGGTTGCTGTGAGTTTTGCAGGCTGTATGGCCATGTTCCAGAAGCATTCTTTCCTGATGTTTCATCCTCATCTGTGGCAGACATCCACAGAGGTTGAGAGGTTTGCACTTTAAATTAAATTAAATTCTTTAATTTAAAGTATATGCATTTTAAATTAAATTAAATAATTTTGATCCTGGAAAATTGTTCGAAACAGCACATACCACCAACTGTCCTGATTTGGCAAGGACAGTTTCAATTAATTCTGTGACTTCCCACTTTTTCTCACTCAGTTTCTCTCTCCTCCCACTTGTACTTTTTGCCCCCACTTTACTTCATTTGCTGCATATTTCATTATAAGTGCAAATGTACACAGTTTATACTTTATTGACTTAGTAAAGGCAAGAGAGGGGAAGGGTAGAATCCTGTCCGTCTCAGTAGGCTCAGGTAAAAACAAACTGCTGCAGCCTCTCCTGGTTTGCATGTTCTTCCTTGTGAATACCTTTTGTGATCTTAACACACTCTGATGTTGTTTGGCCACAAGTATCCCAGGTCTCATCTGTGAAATGTTGGAAGATACGAGAAAAGTACCAAAACTCCTGAATAATTCATAGTCCTTCATCACAGAAATTAATTCTTGGCCTTCTCAAGTTTTTTCAATTTCTACAACATAATTGACTACCAGAGGAAGAAAACACATTTAGGAGTTGTTATTCAAAAATAACTGGAAGTCAGAAATCTTTTCAAACTACTACAGATGATCCAGCTTTAACTTCT